GACTAATGGGTAGGTGTGGGTATAGGTGTGGGTGGGTGGGTGAATGCGAGAGTCGGTGAAGAGACAAATTGCATTAAAACCCATACCCACACCCTCAATAGTGGTACGACGACAGCTTTCTGTTGATAAAAGTCATTGCGCTGGGAATAAGCAATCCACACATTAGTTAGACTTTTCAAGTTCAACCAAAGTTTCAGGATGACGAATAGGAACAGATTGAAATAAAAAAATACTATCATTTGAACGATGAATGACTTTGATAAGACAGTTTCATAAAAAGACTATATTAGAAAGTAGCACATGATTGACTAATCGTTTGTAGTTGAAGGTCAAAAACCTATGAAGTATACTTTGATTAAAAGAAATACATAGTTTTGTAGAGAATTCAAAACTGAATCTTTTGATGAAAAGGATTATTCTGAAATAATTACCTAGAAAAGGTTGAGATATTGAAAAAATACTGAGACCGCCATTTATTCTGCCGCACACGCTATAATATCATATTTTTTATGGTGCATATAATTAATCGATTGATTATTATTATGATGTTGTTGAGATCATGTTTAATAACTTTGACAAAAAGTGCAACTTCGGCACAAAATATATAAAGCGAGTTGTGACTACAGGATAAGTGGGTAGGTACGCCGCAATTTGTTTTTGCGATTTTGTTTATCAGAATAATTGAAAAAAAGAGATTTTCATATCTACGTACGTGCACAATAGATTTTCGAAAGCTTTCGTATCAATGTCCATACATGATCGATTTTATGAATTTTCATGTACATCCGATATCATACGGAATGAGAGAGCGAAACCAAATCGAATAAACGAAACACTTGATTCAGCTCAGCTGAATAGAATCGTTGCCAAAGTCGTTATTGTCATAGAAGATCGAATCGAATCGAATAGAGATGCCTTTATTCAATTTGTTCACAGGATTAGATATCCATCGGAAAATAAGCGTAACAGATAGAAATATATTCAGTCACAGTTTGACAAGTACGAGTGTAATCAAGGTTTGTTTCTTTCAGAAGAGGAGTAAAAGACCCAATGATTTTCTGCGAGTCTTTTTGTAAACGGTAGTTTTCATTATAGTATATGAACAGGAAAGAAATTCGGAACCCAAGAAACTAAGGTCCGAACTGTCAAGTATTATTTATGCCCCTTGTTTTTGAGATTCTTAGTGTCGAGCATTCATGCGTAATTTTACTGAATGAAATCTCTTGTGTCTTATAGTTTTTGTTTTACAGAAAAAAAGATTGTTGAATATGTATGAACAGATTAAAGATTAAAAAAGCATCTAGATTAGAAATAGGGAAAAATAAGTAGGTTGTTAAGAAATAATGCTCATGCGACTATTTTCGTGGTATAAACGCGTCTGAAAATGCCTTTCTTTGTACGTCTGAAACGCGTTCCCCAGGAAGAATTTAGTGCGTCTAAACGCACTTTTAACACTCATGTAGATGTGTTCGACGGCGTTCACATTCGAACTGTGTTCGCTACGTCTGAGTATAAACGCGTTCGGAGAGTGTGGGTGTGTGTATAGGATTTTTCTGGATGCATAGTCACAGCCACACCCATACCCCACTTCAATTCATTGTTCAACAAAACATATACCCTTCAAAATGATGTACGGTCGATCGCCTGTCTTACCATTCGATTATTAAGATACAAATGTTACGATTTCATATGATTTTAAACATGCGAAAAAACTTAGTCAATTTGATTCTGAATCGAATGGTTGGATTTGAGATACGATTAATAGTGCAAAAACGGTGATTTCCTTCAAAGATTGCTATACTAGAGAAGTTTGTAGCCAGTTACTGATGATGTTATGGAGTTGATGTGTAGGTTTCTTAATAATAATTGTGGTGAATAGATATTTGGGTTGTAGATTACCTGTTGCGTCATCTGACAACACTCGAAGAACTTTTTATCGTTTGCTTTGTGAGTTTGCATTGTGTGTGTATTTGGTCTCATGAGTTTTGTTTTATGAAGTTCTGCTCCAAACTCAATTGCAGAACTGTGGGTTATAATATCGGTCTTTTCTATGTTTGTTGTGGACATTAAGGAGGGTTCTGGGTTTGTATAGTTTTTTGTGAACGTTTGGATATGGTGTTGTTTGATTTTTGGCTGAAGCTTTCAGAATATTCTAAGAATCATTAGACATACCTATGGGCGAAAGGACGAGGGCGTATAAGGACCATTTTTGGGCTATTGTTAAATTTGGCTGGTTCATAGTTTACCAGATACAGAATTTCACGAGGAATAGTTTGATGCCAAAATAAAATCGTTTTGGAAGAGTCTATATGGACTTTTGTTCAATATACTGACATGCACTTTTGTACCATAAATCTAATATTCACACAGAAAAGAACCAGATATGTATGTATTTCCCAAACGAGATATTTCGAATCAAAAACTATGTCAAGCAACTGTCCATCTCATAGTCTATCTGTTCTAAAAATTTCAGCCCGAAAGGTTGAAGTGTTGCTGAGTAAGGACGCAAATATTGCTTCAAATAAGCATGAAAATCATATAGTTATATTGTCATTTTTCTTCACTTCTGCTCACTGTTTTCTCAATATTTCAAGAAAGGAAAAAAATAACGTGGAATTTTGATTGATTCTGAAAGCTCGAAAACAGGGCTACAAAACCAGATATTTTTCGATTCTTTTAGAAGTGGCCTTCATTAAATAAAATGGCCTGAATTTCTCTGCGGCACCAGTTTTTCACATTTTTTACGGATCTTTGACCTACATTCATTGGGAAGAATAGAATTTTAGTTACAGCTAACGTCATATTTGGAATACGCATAAAAAATTGAGTCGGCTGATGTGTGTTTCAACATATTTCGATGAACTTTTTTTCTCTAAAAATTCGCCTGGGGCACCCCTCAGGGGTCAGTCGAAAAATTGATATTATTCAGAAAAGGGGGTAGATGGGTGTGGGTGTGAGTCAAGAAACGACTTACACCCATACCCACACCCGCACACGTTCACGCGCCACACCCTCGTTTATTCTTCTTCTACAACAAATCGACTGATTGCTATTTCGATTTTCTTACTTCTATAGTTGGTTGTCTACCAGAAAATGTGTTGATAACACAAAAGATCGACAAATGTAAAAACAACCCCATGCTTCATTTTGTTCATTCTCTCTAGTTCTCTTTTGATTCTGATATTGAATTCTTCGATTCTTCAAAAACCGTGAAAGGTGATTGAACAGACAAGTTAGCCAAATTTAAATACACTTGAGGAGTGCTATTTATACTGACTTTCATTGATATTCTTTTGCTTTTGTCTGTTATGTTTCATTAAGAGAACGAGTGTGGGTGTGTAGGCATGAATGTCGGTGATATGGAAGGCAAAGACAGACACATATTGGCATCTAAAGACACTTACATTCCCTAGAGATCTGCATCAGACCCCGAAATTCAGCAACGACTTCGTCACAATTGCAGTCGCAGTTGATGGAAATTGCAAACGATTTCGAAAAACCTATGTCTTTCTTTTCTCACGTAGAATTCTTTTTTGAAAATGGTAAGTTTTATCTTACGAAAACTGTCCATCGAATAGCTCAATAACATCTAAGAGAGAAAAAAAACTATACTAGATTGACTTTCAACAGTGACTATTGCAAAAAAAAGATCAGCATCAACATCAACATCTCTCTTTTTTCCATTCTTATGATGAGATGTGTTTTCATCATCTTCACACTCTTTCTTACTTATTGTTCCACTTGAGTTTTCAGATATCATTGACATTGGATTGAAATTTAATCTTGTTGTTCCCTTCTTGATCTGAAATGACTCTTTCAAAGAGATGAAATTCTTCTTGATGAAAACTTGGTAACAAGTATCGTCAACTTTACTTTTGTTTTCTATCTTTGTGTTCATGACAAGTATCTTTAATCGACAAAATAATTTCAAATTCAATTCTGTTCAATTTTCTGTCTAACATTGATAATATCTATCGATCCTCATTAGAAATTATTGCTACATACGTAAATTGTAGTTAAGTTAGCAAAAAAGAAAATTTGGAAGTGTTTTGAAATCGAAGCTGTAGACGAAAGAAGACTTGATAGTTCTATAACACTGATGCTTCACGCTTATTTAATATGAAAATAAATAAATTAATCATAATAATGACGCAGAAAATTATATTTCCTAATCTCTGCCTGCTTTTTATTAAAACAAAATTTTATTGAGAGTTATGTACATCAATCGAGTTTGAGTTAAAACTATACGAAAGATAATGGTCTATTTATATGCATGTGTAATCTCATTGAAAAGAAGAATTATTTTGTCATGTAATAAAAAACCATACTGAGATTTGAAGCCACTTTTTCTTTATTAGCTACTTTAATTAACAGTGCACTTTAATTTGAATCATTTAAATGTGGAATATCGTTCCGATAAAAACCGAAGATTTTCTACAATCAACTAGCACTTTTCATTATCGATTGAACTGTACAAGAGGATTTCTTCTGGCGACATTTCATATATTATCAAATCGATCGATGTTTGTTGTGCATTATTATTATGTTGTAAATATTTATTTTGGGCAATCAATATGATTGATTCATAATATAATGCGGTGTCTACGTTCCGAAATAAAGATACTTTCCAAACAAAATTCGACCTTCTGAAATGATCGTTCATTGAAATACAGAAGAAAAAATATTAGTACAAAAATATCACCTCGCTCGATGGTTACTACTAATTCGTATATTAATTTAACTTAGGAACGATTCTCTTTCTCTTCATTATAGTGTTGCAAATATTTTTGTTGAAGATCTTTGAATATTTCTGAGCAAAAACCAGATGAGTTATCGTAGTAGACAGTCATAATATCATGATCAGAGAAAATGTTTCATCTAGATAATCAGCTTATTTTATTGAAAAAGTTATCAATGTGAATTTATTTTTTAAGTAAAGAACAAAGACGCAGCATTATTTAAATAATAAATATAATTTGTCACTTTCTAGGTTCCATGTGTTAATATTGAAAGATTACAGTCATGCTTTGCGTTGGTCCGCTACAAGTGTTGGTATTGATTCCTCCAAAAGATTCGACACCAACACACGGTCGCACAGTATAGCCGAGATCGGAACAAACACAGATAGAAACATGAGCACTCAATTCAACTCCAGAGACACATATTCCAACAGCCCATGAAACACCATTTGAAGTTATTGGTCCATATGAACTGGACGTCCGTAAAGCTTCAGCAATATTCGATATTATAGTTGAATCATTTAATGTTAATCCAACTGTATCATATGTACCTTGTATTATTAACAATGTATAAGTTCGAACCGTTAGCTGAGCAACGAAGCTTTCCCATTGTGTACATTGCGAAGTTGGAACAGTGGAAGTTGTAAAGTTTGCTGAGTATGTAATCATATTGGTGGTAGTGCCTGAAATAGAATGAATCATGTAAGGAAATTATTTACGAGCATTAATCAATAATAAAGAAAAGTCTGATAATGAAAATAATCTCTGGAATTTCGTTCAATTTTGATGAAAGTTACTGTAGTCCATCCAATATAAGAAAAAACTTGAGTGAATCTGGGTTAAGCGTTGGGCAATGTCGTTAATAGATTAAAAATAAATATGTGAAATTCCGTATGTTTGATTTTTAATACTGACTTAAGAAAATATCCATTCAAATAGTAATATTACTGCTGTTTAGTTAGTTTTGAAAGAAAATTTTAAATTTATTGGAAGAAGTAGACTAAAAGTTTCAAATATATTCATTCACATTTAAGAAAAACTTCAGCTTCATGATCATCGTTTCATTTTGAAATTTCAGATTTAATCTATGTTTTGTAGTGCCCAAAGTAAAAAGTTTATTCGTCTCATGTTTGATACAGTACATCTTTGGTTTACAGAAATAAACATAGATTCTAAAAGACTTCAAAACAAGTACTTTATGAAACACATTCTAAAAGGAGTGTTCACGTATGCGAATAAAAAATTAAAGAGCTTCTTTCCTGCCGTAAGTCATAGATCGTAAGAGACTAGAATACACAATCATAGACTGCAAATCATTAACGCCTAGTATCATTTAATAACTTAGGTCTCTATTGCATTTTACGAGGATTAAATAAAAGAACGACAAAGAAATGCGTTTCCAAATACATATAATAAGCAATCTCCTTCATGTTAGCAACAGTAAATGAATTGTGTTCCAATTTTCATTCTGCAAAGACCGCTCTGCAAGATTTTTTCTGAAGTACTAAACGCGATAGACATTGTATCAGTAGATAATATCTAGCTCTATAGCTTATTCTGTTGAGAGAACAAAGGCCTTTCTTCTTGGCAAAGAAATCAGTTTGGTTAAAACTGATCTTGAATTATAGAACCCTTCTTTCCCGATCAATCTAATGATTTTCAATACAAAATTGTATCAAATCATCATTACAATTATTTCTAACTAATGAACAAAAGATATATTGTTTATATCAAGGGAACTTACAAGCAAAGCTCGTCGTTGAGGCTCGCTGATTTGTTTACTGAATACTCGACTGCTTCTATGTAGCATACTGCTTAACAAGCGAGATCGATTCTAATATCAGATGTATGTATGAGAGCGACTGTTAGTGGGAAGATTATAGTGCGTTTGCATTTCGTCTGATGTTTTTCTTCATCTTTTGAATAAATGACAGTCAATTACATATCAAAGCCAGAGAAGGATTCAGAATGTTTTGTTAAGGGGGCAGAGAATTTAGCACTCTGTTTATGAACCTTTGAGCCTGCCTGGCAAACGAAATATATCTTCCACAAATCTCTTCTAAGGGATAAAGAGTCTGTACAGTCACAAGTATACAATAACTACAACCATGCACTATACATATATCTTAGCTCAAATACAATCACCTCCACTATCACATATCATACAACTACTGATATTTCATGTATCACTGTGACAAGCTGAGAGAATGTGCGCCTATATATATATCGACATTATGATTTATTGTTTCATCTGTGCATCTCAAGTCATACCCTTTCTTCATTCATATCTCTTTATATAGAAGAGATTGATCAGGTATGAGTGAGCAGAAATAAAGAGAGAAAAGTCGCGGAATAGAACAATGGCAGTTAGTCGCGGCGATCATATATGAACATATAAATATAACGAGGATAGATACCTACACCCGAACTATACATATGATCTTAACGTGCATCAGTGTACTGATTAGAGTAGATCGTAGCTAATCGGGTCGGTAAGGTCACCACAAACTTTTCGGGACTTCAGAATAAATATGCGATCTGAATATTTTGCAGATAAAAAAAGGCTCTTGACATGTATTTTTTCATTTAAAGATTCAATGAGAGAACGTGGCAAAGCTTATCGGAACAAGAGATTATGTATTGCTCTATCTTTTCTTCTAATTTACTTACTTTTCTTGATTGACATCCAGAAATGATACCTAATAAATATGCTCTCTTAACTGATGACCGAAAGCTTAAAGATTGTATATATAAAGGAAAGACCAATAAGAAAATATTCTATGATGCAACCGTATTGCCTCAACTGTGGAATATCGGTCAAGTATCAAGGATGATAGGAAGTCAAGTGAATAGCTTTTACTTACAACAACGCATTGAAAGAAAGAGAAAACGATTGCAAATTTGATTTTCTCAAGAGAAAGAGAAAAGTGTATAATACCAGAGTCCGATTCACGTCAGATACATTCGAATCACAAGAATTTGACCTATATTGAACACTGACATGCATACAAATATAGAAATATAAACCGCATTTTATTTTATTTCGTATGATCGTCTCTTCAGTCGAAATAATTACTTGTAGATGCCGTTGTTGCAAAGGGACCAGTATGAGTGACAGCTAGGCTTATTGGCACTACTATTGCAGCAACTAATCCAACACATACTATTACAGCTACGATGATGAGTACAAGCTTAGTTGTGCTTGAAAATCTATTATAAAGGAAATATTTGACTCGATGTATTCTATTGCTATTGCATGATCAACTTACGCAGATTTTACTGGAACCGAATGAAGATTATCAACATTGGCATTAACTTGTTTTGTAGTAGCCTTCTGGTTAACAACATGTGTACATCAAAGATCATATGCGAAGTTTACTCACCTGCATTGGAATGTTATCCCAATAAGAAACGATAATAAATTTAGCGGCAAAAAAAGTATACAGAGAAAGAATGATTCTGTTTTTAACTGTTCTACTAAATAGAATTTACCTTTTATACTTCACATTAACCGTATTGCGACATACAATTTTCCGAATGATATGATTGCTCTACAACCAATCACTTTCTTTAAAGAACATCATGACACCGAAAGTAGGGAAGTATGGCGTTTTTCTATATATGAGGAGGACTGTTTGACATTTTTATTTTCCCGATATGTTATAATAGGTGACCTCGTCATGAAAGAACTATTTTTTCAAAATTAGAGTGCATTTGTGCCTGCTGCTCGAATGATTTATTTAAATTCACTATAAAAGTAATGTAGAGAAAATCGAGAAAGAGATGTTTCTAGTTTAAAAAAATGTTATGAATCAACTATTCAGTTAGTTAAGCATTCTCTCGGATTTTTGACTTACATAGTCTTTTGGAAAAAGTTTTATTTTATCGAAAGATAAGTACTGCCTTAAAAAATGATGCGTTAATAATTTCTGATGTTCCTAAATATGAAAATTAATTATTTTTATCTCGTACATAAGATTTTTTTATTTTAATGAAACAAAAAATACGCATTAATATTATTCTTGATGTCATTTTTCATCGAGCTCAGTGCATTAAGTGAGCGTGGTGAATTGCATTGCTTAATAACTGGAAATCAATTATTGACGACATTCTCCATACTTTTTTCTTGCAATAGACGGCTAAGACTTTCATTGCATAT